AATGTATTTTTTTCAAATAATGTAGCTCAGACAAGGCCTAAATTAAAATGGAGCCCAAACAAGAGCTAGTAATAATAATAACGACTATTGTAAAATTACAGTACGCCATAGTCTGTGCATATTTGGACTTCACTGAATATTGTTCCATTGGTGGGAGATTTTTCTAATTGGCCTATTACTATTTATTTTCATTGAAAAGTCTGTATTACCCTTAATGAAATAATTCTTCCTATATTGCACAATATATCTCAATCTTTTTGAATTTTTGAATATAAATCCATTCTATGATCTAATAAATTGGAATAATCTGTAACATATTGTTCATATTTTTTATTTAATGTATCATATTCTTCAGAAGATGCATTCATATTTTCTAATTGAGAAAAAATAATTTTTACTTCTTCTAACATTCTTTCTAATAAATTACCTAATCCTTTAATTTATATCCTGACATTAAATCATACAAATAATCATCAAATAAACAATTAATCCATTTGATTCTTTAAGATCTTAAAAAGACTCGTTCAAATTTTAGCAAAAATTAATAGTCTTACCTTAGTTCTGATCTAGATCTTTTATTCTTAAAATCGAGTGACCTATGAGCTCTGAATATGTAAACTGCTTCCTTTAACGACCTCTTGCTTTCACGGAATTTTTACTATTTCAGCTTCTTACTCTCACTGTATCAATTCCAAAAAATAAATATCAAGATTTTGATTAAGGAAAAACTCTCTTTTTGCTAAAATAAAAAAGAAACTTTCTATTAGATCTTTCGAGAATCTATGGGAATAAGAATTTAGAAACTCATATTGATATCAAAATATTGAAATTTTATTTCTATAAAAATTTATACAAGATTTTTATTTGGTACAAAAGGATTTCCAGAAAACTGGTTTTGAACAAAAGATAGCTTGAGAATGGATATTGATTTCCATCCCCGAGATAAGCTATCCAATCCTTTCCAAATACCTCTATTTATACAAACTTATGAGGTTCTATTATTGATCTATTTATATCATTGCATACATCAAAAATTTGAAAAGGCGCACATATCTTTCTATTATTGTTCTCCTAGGGCTACATCTTCACATGCATTTTCAACTTTTTATTTAAGGAGCATCTTTCCCTCTATTATTGTTCTCTTTTCTTTATGTCTTCACATGCAACTGGGACAATTTCTTAGTTGACAAGATTCTTTGATAGTGTTAGGACATCT